AGTTCTCCTGGCATCTTCCGACGTCGCCTAATTCTTCTGTCCACATCGATCCCCCAGGCTGTGCATCTTGTTTTGGCGTTTTCTACAGCAACTTGGCTCAAATCATCACGAAGCTTGACAAATTCATGCTCCAAAGATTCAAGATCAGTTGCTGCTTCCTTGAAATTCATAGTAGGATCCTGTAAGCGCTTCTGAACACGATCAATTTTTCCAAGAATGACATTCCAGAAATGTAATAAAACTATGAAGTTAAAATTTAATACGCATGCCTGTAACTGTTCTGCATCACTTCTGGTTTCAGGCGTCATAGTTACGTCCTCCGATAATTTGTCTAGCAGCCCTACTAGTTCATCCAGTCCTTCATAGATAGCTTTAACAGCTTCTGATCGTGCACTCCAGCGTGTTTCAGGCCGTCGTAGTTTCCGCCACCAAAAAACAGGCCAGTGACTAAGGCTGAAAGACTGCGCCTGTCTGTTGTTTGGGACGTTCTTCCATGTAAGTTCTTAATAGGCGCGCGTACCAAAATGTAATTACATGACATGTAGGCTGTGTGTGGCGGATATATAAACTTTTAGGTTGAGGTGTAGATTTGTGCAGTAGTTTCAGGCTGCCGCGCCCGCCGCAATAAGTTATAATGTAACGTTGTAAGCCTCATTTTGGCGCCCCTTTACCTTGGCGCCCGGGACATATGTACCCCCCTTCCCCCCCCCCCAGCTACGCCTCTGACTGGTGATGACCGTTAACGAGAATTGAACTCCTTCAGACGCTGTTGCCCTGACAGACCTTGTTTCACCTGAGGACGGCTGCTTGCGTTGTGGCCGAAATGTCGTGAGAAATATTTTATTATGTTTTATTTTTATTATTTTATTATTTCCCTTCTACGTGACTTTACCGAAAAAACCAAGAAGATGAATCCATGCAGTCATGGAACCTTTAAATCGAAATTTATTGAACTCCGATCGCCAGGTTCATAGCACATTGCACTAACCGCTACACTACCGCTCTAAACATACACACAGACACAAGACTATGACAAATATCCCTCGTATAGCCTTAACAGCATGCTGGGGCAAATGCTGTTGGCGAGTACCTATGAAGGCCAGCACAACACGCGAGGGGGTAGGTGGCCAGCACCATGTTTACACACCGCACCAGATACTAATTTGAGGCTGAGTTGACCTAGGGGAGCCAAGGACCGGTTCAGATAATCCTCAATCGTGTTGGCAATAAGCTGCAATCAACCTGTGGTCGTCGGGTTCATAGCACAGAGCACTAATCACTACATGACCACTCATTTGTCAACACACAACTACCACCATTTGCCACTAAGTGGCGGTGACGTCACCAGCGCGATTGTGCCAGGCCATGTGCACTTTAAAGCTACGTGAAGCAATACGTACGTACAAACACATTTTACCTCATTCACTGATTCGTTACGTCATTCAATCATTCCTTCCAGCACCTCCCACTTGCCTTCTGATGCTTTCCTAATATTCCTGCAGGGCCACCCATTACCAGGGAACGTCGTTGCTAGGGACAACCGTAGGCAAGGCACCGTCGCTAGGGACGCCGTTGCTAGGGACGCCGTCGCTAAGGCTGCCCGTTGGTTCTAACGGCACCGTTGCTAGGGACGCCGTCGCTAGGGACGCCGTCGCTAAGGCTGCCCGTTGGTTCTATCGGCACCGTTGCTAGGGACGCCGTCGCTAGGGACGCCGTCGCTAAGGCTGCCCGTTGGTTCTAACGGCACCGTCGCTAGGGACGCCGTTGCTAGGGACGCCATCGCTAAGGCTGCCCGTTGGTTCTATCGGCACCGTTGCTAGGGAAGCCGTCGCTAATGGCACCATTGCTAATGTTGTGGTTTGGAGTGTGGTGAGTGGGAAGGTGAAGACGCTTGGAGTAGTCGTGATGTAGTGGTACAACTTGTTGCTGTAGTGGTGTAGAGCTGTGGTATTGTGTTGTGGTGCAGTGGTGGAGTGGTGTGGTGTGGTACCTAGTTGGAGTGTAGTGTGTGGGGTAGTGCAGTGGTGTGTGGTGGAGCTGTTTCGTTTTGAAGTTTTCATTGAGGGTGTAGTCTCAAACATAGACAGACAGAACGGAGACAGAGAGAGACAGACAGAGATACACTCCTCTGACTACTGAAACACATAAACACCGTCACGTGCACACAGTGACACACATGTTATGATAACAATCTCAGTCACGCCATGTAGGCTACGGGCCCAGTCTAAAACGTCACCAATATTTTCAGTTACAATAATCAATTCTGTAAATTATGAAAAAAAAACCAATCATAACCAAATAATGGTGTAGGCTGAAAACAACACGCATTATTTCATTTAAAAGCACACGGCCATGTGTGGATATGCAAAAAAAAACATCAACATTTCCTAAATACCTGCATTGTGGTCGTCTTGCCTGAGGTACTTCTCTACCCAACTTTGAGTAAACTTCTAGATTTGAAGCTTTCGTGACTGCAAGGATTCATACTCTTAGTTTTTTCGGTAAAGTCACGTAGGTAAAAAATGAAATTAAAATTAATAAAATAAAATAATAAAAATCACGACGTTTCGGAGGCAACACAAGTCTCCGTCATCAGGTGGGACCGTCACAGCCAGATTTGCTGTATCAAGTGGGACCGTCACAGCCAGATTTGCTGTATCACTTGATCACTTGATACAGCAAATCTGGCTGTGACGGTCCCACCTGATGACGGAGACTTGTGTTGCCTCCGAAACGTCGTGATTTTTATTATTTTATTTTATTAATTTAATTTCATTTTTTACCTACGTGACTTTACCGAAAAAACTAAGAGTTTGAGTAAACTGGCAGCAACAGCAGCAGTGACAGACAAACTATGGACTGGTTCTGACCTAATTCACGACAGAGGTCTCAACGCACAAGCAAAGTGACTTTCACTTCTCTTTCAGATCACCACCCTCTACTGAGCAGTCACGATGGGTCTGACCACAGTCCTTAATTGCTACCTGTGGTCTACCAACTTGTCTACCAATTTGTCTGTCAATAATCCATCACCAATCCCCTCTGTTCTACATCTTGCAGCACTTTTTCAGTCAAATTTAATCACCATTTCTGGTACTCTGTCAAGCTCCATTCTCCAAAGTACTGCAGTCTTGTCGCCTGTGCGTTTTGTGAAAATATTTGTTCTCATCTTAATTTGCGTATATCTTAATTATTATTGCCTCGAAACTCCAAATTATTCCCTCATGCCATCCATTTATGTCGTATTTTTCATTAATCTGTTTTGCTCAGACTCCAACATTCTGGTGCACATAACAGTACAATATTGGCACAATCTGTTTCGTAAGTATAATTTTCGTTTTGATATTGTCTTTGGATTTTCAGTTTTAATGAACTTTTCCAATGCATTTGTTATCCAACCCCTTTTTATACTCCAACTCCATCATCATATTGTCCAGTGTGTGACTTCTGTGATCGACAACATTTTCTTCTCGTATATGTTGTTATGCCAATTTATCCAGGAAAACATCATTTAGTCTAAATAACGTTTCTCAGGAAGATTCTGCCACGCCCCCTTCTGGAACCTACCAGACGGTTCTCAGCTTCACCCCACATGTCCCCTTTGTCACTTTACTCTACATTCGTTACCCCGGCCTATCACGTGCCCTGCTGACAGACCGGCTGCTGTGTCCTCAAATGTCCCTTCTCTGCCAGCAACTGGCGCAACGCGCTCCAAGTGGCACATTTCACCTGCCCTGCTGGTAGACCGGGCTACTACACCCATAATCCCGCTCTCTACCAGTAACCAGCGCTACGCGCTCTAGTGACCCATCCTATGTCACTACACTTGTACACTGATCACAGCCACACGGACACAGATGCACACCATCACCAAAAAAAGACAAAGATCCCACGCATTGCCTTAACAGACTGTTGGGGCAAGTGCTGTTCGCGAGTAGTACCTATGAAGGCCGGCACGGCATTCGAGGGGGTGGGTGGCCAGCACCACGCCCAGCCGCCTTTGTCTCCCCAGTGACGATGTTTACACACCGCACAGTAACGGGCAACTTTTTCCACCCGTGCTGAATAGCATTGTGAAGTTACATGACATAATGCCTCCATGGCGTAAAACCTCAATCACAGCAAGCATTTCCCAGCATTGAGAATCACTAAGTATGAAGAGAACGCCTGCATTTTCCACGAACAACACATGGACCCCATCTGAAAACGAAGCAAACCATTTCCGATAATTACAGTGGGATATAGTTGGACTTTGTGATGAGAATAAGATATTTATGAGGATGACTATTGAAGCACAATTATGCGAATTCACTGGAACATTAACTTGATGACTTTGTAGATTGGTGGGGAACACGGCCAGGATTGATTATAGGGGTCACGCAAGGGTCAAGGGACTACACCCAGAGAAATTATGAAAAATTGGATGCGATTGGAGGAAAAACCCAAAAGATACATTTTATTTTTCGTGTAGATTTTCGGTACAGCTGTGGTATAATAAAATATTTAAAAAATGTACCGTACTCGTAATGGCAGAACTCCACGACTCCAGGAAGTGACCCCGCAGCTTGCCATAGTGTAAGGGACCTTGGTGATTTTCAGGCAACGTGAGTTGAGCGTGGACAATTAGACCCATAAAAAAGATTGTTTAATAATAAATATTTTAATTTTTTAATGAT